TGGGCTCTGTGGCCTTCACACACTGTGGAGCTTTGAATGAAGCTGAGCTTTTGTGAATGTTTAGAGTCAAAGGAGCTTACAGCCTGCCGGAACCCTAGTCACCTCCAGTCCTCTCACATTATGGACTCTCCCTTTCCCTCCCCCTGCTAAGAAAAGAAAGACAATGAGGTTAATGCCTAAGAGCAAGTGATTCAGCCCTAAGCCTGGCATGCAGGTTTTCTGATGCCTGGTCCTGTGTTCTGCTATCCATGATTAGCACTTAGCATATTCCTTGCAAGGGCCACATTGGGAAACCTCCACTTGGCATTTCAGTAACCAAGTCCATGCAGATGAGTTCCCCACCACTTTGTGTTAGACAGTTCATTTTGCTCTAGATATGATAAGGTCATTTTCTGGCTAAGATGGCTTTATGAATTTTGGGTGAAAACCAAAGAATTCTGATGCTCTTCTTCCCCTGATGGAATTTAATCTACAGGTATACTGACACAGTCAATTTAAAAGGATTGGTTTGACTGCCAAGGTTCACATTCAAAGCTTTATTTTCTATATGATTTCATTTTGTCATTACAAACACCTGTGTGCTTGCAAAAGAAACTATCATTAATAACATTTCTTTTGTTCCCACTCCCTTCTGTCTCCCTCCTTGTCAATCCTACCTTCCCTTCCCTTCCAAATCAGGATATTGGCCCTCCTACAACATTCCTTTCCATGAAAAAATCTACAACTGGAGTGGCTATCCAATGTTAGTTCAGAAGCTGGGTATGGAATACTCTTATGATCTGGCTTCCCGAGCCAAAATCTTCCGGCGTGACCACGGGCGAGTGACTGATACGGCCTCCATGAAATACATCATGCGATACAACAGTACGTAGCATGTTTCTCAAGAATCGATCTTCAAAACTCCTTTTCTTCCCTATGGATAGAGTCCATTTAAGTTTATCTCTGTACTAGAAGGAATTATAAAAAGTTACTGAATTTTTAGTATTCAACTAATTCTATACATATTTTGTACTCAACAAATAGAATTTTGTCCTCCTTTTTGTAATATGACAGAGAAGAACCTACAGATTTTTAATGTAAAGAAATTACATGTAAAAAATAGGAGAAATAATCCAAACAGGGCCCTTTTATTACCCCTCACCCCAAACACACGTTTCCTTCCAAGGACACAAGCAGCTAATAAAACAAAAATTACTCATAAATACTTAATTTTTATTGATTAGTTTCAAAGTCAAATCTGCATATATTTTGTTGAAAAAAATTGATGCACATTTATCCTCTATTATCTCTATTTCATCTACTCTTCACTGTGCAAGGTTCTTGGAAGGCTGGGCCTGGGGCTGGGGACTTACAGTTGCCCTTTCTTAGTACAAACCAAAGGGGACTTCTGGGTCTGGGAGGAGGCCACTGGGGTATATGCTCTGCTTAGGCTCCCACAAGCCCAGGGAGCTTACCGTGGACAAGTGCATCTCAGAATAGCCAGTACTCACTCTTTGCCCCATGGCTGTTTCCTAGATTACAAGAAGGAACCTTACAGTAAGGGTGATCCCTGCAATACCATCTGCTGTCGTGAGGACCTGAACCCACTCAGCCCAAGTCCTGGAGGTTGCTATGACACAAAGGTAACATGCTGTTGGCTTTTGAATTCAATTTTCACCGGCACCTTGGCCCAATCAAAGATAAAGAAGTGGAGGGTTTTGTGGCATGAAGCGCAATCGTGTCTCAACTCAATTCTGTTCAGCACTCAGCTTTTTCAGATTCCGGTGGTAGGTCCCAGTGTCTGACTTCAAGTCCCTGCTCTGCCACTTAATAGTACATCAGTAAATCTTGTAATGCTTCTGTTTACTCATCTGTAAAGTGGAGACAACAGTACTTGCCTCATAGGGTTGTTATGAAGAATAAACACTTAGTATCTATAAACTGCTAGTGGGTTATTTGTAAGTACCTGTAAGTACTGTAAGTACAGTAGGTCTAGAGCCTGAAGATGGGACTGAACTGCTGTATCTCATGATGTAACGGATGAGGAGTTGCCTTTCATGGATGAGTAAAGAAAGTGGTTCCTTGAGATGGAATCTGCTCCTGGTGAAGATGTTGTGAGGACAGCTGAGATGACAACAAAGGATTCAGAATATTACATAAACTTAGTTGATAAAGCAGCGGCAGGGTTTGAGAGGATTAACTACAATTTTGAAAGAAATCCACTGTGGTTAAAATGGTATCAAACAGCATCACATGCTACAGAGAAATCCTTCATGGAAGGAAGAATCAATAAATGTGGCAACCTTCATTGTTTAACAAATAACCACAGCCAACCAGACTTCAGCAGCCATGGACATTGAGCCAACACCCCCCAAGCAAAAATTACTGAAAGCTCAGATGATGGTTAGGATTTTTAGCCCAAGTGTTTTTTTTTTTTTT